ATGTTACCAAAGAAATTGACCTCCAACCGCATTCGTTCTTGTGCCCATTGACAAAATATTAATCGATTTGTGTAATGAAATGTGGTAAGGGTGATACTTGTTGCGTTTTAATATTCTTAAAATGTTGGTCTTCGATATTCCGGCATCAATTGCAAGTCGTCGAGTGCTAACTTGAGGATTTACCTCAACGCTAGCTAATACCGCAATTTTCTTTTCTTCCGTAGTTACAGTTGCTCGCCGAGTTCTTTTTCTTGATTCCACATTTCCAGTGTTAGTGAAATCATTCACAACTCTGTAAAAGGTACTTCTGAAAGGCGTATTTCGTTCAGGAAAACGTTCTCGATACGAAGCTATATTATTAGCAACTTTTCTGCCACTTTCTCTATAAATAAAAATCATTTCTACTTTTCTGCCACACTTAGAGTATCCATGATTTAATGACTTAGTTTAAACACTTTGCTTTAATGTAAAACGATGGATTGAATTCAGAATTTGTTGCCAAGCAGTTTTTATGCAAATTTAGTTTTACCTGTTACATTTGTCGGAACCTTTTAGACCTCTTGCCAAAGGTATTTCCGACGAGCCAGGTCACCCGATGTACCTCTTCTGGATTTTTTTTTTGTTGAGCATTCTTAAATAGTATTCTAAGAATTAAGAACTAAAGACAATGTATTGAAGCGGGTAGTTTTGCTGTTGTTCTGGCAAAACCACACAGTACAATTTTTTTATTTTATTTTTTATAATTACTTTACTTTTATTCACAGATTCTAGATTTTACAATAAAATATATAGGGTGCCATTTAAAAAATTCATCTTTGTGATTTATGACGGTAACCCTGCTTTGTTACATGGTAACCTCCTTAACAATCTATGCGATTTGAAGTTTACTAATAAACTTGAAAAAGATGGACAATTAAACTTTTTAGACTTAAATATCAACAAAAATTTAGATAAAGAGTGTCTCGATTTCAACATTTTTAGAAAAGACACGTTCATCGACAGCATCATACAATCTGATTCATATAGCTGTACACAACATAAAATGGCCAGTTTTAGATTTGCATTCCATCGTCTCTGTAAACGGAGTATTACAAAGTTAAACAAACCAAATTACATCTCAGAACTCAAAAACATCATAAAAATAGGCCTTAATAATAGATTTGAACTTAAAGACATACAGAAAATTTACAATACTGTTCACAACAATCACATTAATAAACTACTATATCCTCATTATAAAACACCACCTAACTATATTTCAATTCCATTTAATCCTCGATTACAGTTTAAATTTAAGTTTAAAAACCTTTCGAAACACAATATCACACCAGCTTTTACCTCCAATAACAAACTAGGTCAGTTAATTACCAATAACAAACACCAATTTAACCAGTTAGAACTTAATGGAGTTTACGAATTAAGATGTAATGTGAACATTTTTACATAGGCCAAACTGGTAGAAGCCTTAACACCAGAATCAAAGAACACTTTACCAAAGAGTCTTCCACCTTCTTTAAGCATTTAAATAATACCAACCATAAATCTTCTTTAGAAAACGCCAAACTTCGCAAGAAAATTTAAAAATTCAGAGAACTGGACCTCTACGAGGAATATTTTATACATATTAATAATAAAAATGATAATGATTTGCTATTAAATGACATAACAGAATTCAACAAATATAGGAACTTTCTTAAATTTATCTAATAAACCCCCGCCCCCTTTTTGACTTTATACACACGTGCTAGCCCTCATCTTCTTGTTACCTCAGTCCTGTTTTAACTCCCACGCATGTATCCTCTTAATAAAATAATTTGTGAGCATTTTTGTTTTCGCTTTTATCTTTTGCAACTCGCTTTTGAGTAGATGATTTTATACATTATCCGTTTGAAATGTTGTTTCGTTGTAATGTGCACATGTTAATTTTGGTTTTACACCTTAATTGACGGAAAATATTAATTAATTTCTTATATAACATCTATTAATTAACATAATTGTCTCTTATAGTCGTGCCTGATGAAGAGCTCGAAATACGTATAGCACTGATTTAAACATTGTAAGAAATTAATAAATTTCATTCATCGACACCTTTGTTATTACTACTACTATGAACCCGGAGAATATCATTAAAAATGTTAAAAAATTGGTTGTGACCTTCATATAACCTTGAAAATAAGGTCAAGGTCAAATTTTTTTATCGTCATATGGTTTCCCCCTTCGCACAGAAGAACTTTCATTTGGTTCATTTTTATATAAAATAAACCGTTTTTGAGATAATCGTTTGTCTCACATTAAATGGACCATCCTGTATTACACGTGACAATATACGGTGCGAAAACATGGACAATTAGTAAGCGAGACGTTGATCTTCGAGAGGAAAATTCTTCGCACGATTAGCAAAGCAACGTGTGAGAATCGAACATGGCATTTGATTTCGAATCAACTGCTAGGAAAACACGAGGGACCAGAAGTTATGACTAGAATTAAAGTCATGTAATCGCAGTGTACAGGTGGTTCAAATTCGATGTCCGAATAGGCTAACTCAGAAACTATAAGAGTTAGAAAAAAAGTAGCTTACATGTCATGATCTCGTTTTTCGAGAAACTGCTAATGCCGAAAACCTCATAGCGCTATCGTCTTTTGTTTTTCCCCTAGAGGCCAAAATTGAAAATATCGTAAAACCAACAAGTGCAATTATCTTGGTTATTATTATAGGTGGAGTATTATAACTACGACATTATATGGACACTTTTTTACAGAGAATTTCATGACGTAGTCAAAAAAAAGTTATCGGTTTTAGATTTTGAGATATCATGAGAATTTTCGTTTTTTTAAATGGTAACAACCACTGATTATTCGCTTATTAAATTCGTTATTTTTTTCTGATTACAAAAATATAGGGTTCGACAGGTCTATTTCTTATTGTTTTAGAATAAAGCTAAAAATAAACTTTTTTTATAAAATTTCCATCTAGTGTCGTCGAGGAAATTAAATTTACAGTTTCCTGTAAGTTACGGGGCGGTAGGTAAAATCTAAAAAGTTAACAATTAAATACGAAGATAACTTCTGGTATTTAAAAACAAATAATTTTTTAATATGTAACATTCTAACATGTCAAACTTTTCAAAATTTTCGTAATTGATCTTAAAAACAGGATTTTTAAAGTGACACTTCAGAAAATTTTTGAATACAAACAAATGTTGCTATGTTTATTTGAATTAAAAAAAAAAAAATGAGCGCCATCTATCGATAATTTATTAAGTCATTTAAAAATAATATTAAATCGTAATAAAAAATGTGAAATAATGCAATCTATTCCAACTTTTGTGTAAAACATATATAAATTAAACAGTTCAACAAATATATTTGTTTCAAATATCAGAAATATGTTTTTTTAATTTTTAGTTATAGAACCGTAATTTACAGGAAACTGTAAATTTAATTTCTTCGACGACACTAAAAGAAAAGTTTATTTTTAGTTTTATTCTAAAACAATAAGAAATAGACCTGTCAAACCCTATATTTTTGTAATCAGAAAAAAATAACGAATTTATTAAGCGAATAATCAGTGGTTGTTTCCATTTAAAAAAACGAAAATTGTGATAATATCTCAAAATCTAAAACCGACAAAATTTTTTTGACTACGTCATCAAATTCTCTGTAAAAAAGTGTCCATATAATGTCTTAGTTATAATACTCCACCTATAATAATAACCAAGATAATTACATTTGCAGGTTTTACGATATTTTCAATTTTGGCCTCTAGCGGAAAAACAAAAGACGATAGCGCTATGAGGTTTTCGGCATTAGCAGTTTCTCGAAATACGAGATCATGACATGTCAGCTACTTTTCTTCTAACTCTTATAGTTTTCGAGTTAGCCTATTCGGACATCGAATTTGAACCACCCTGTACATATGAGATGGAGGATCATGTCAAACCATAGGAAATGTGGAAACAAGTAAGGCCTAAACTCAGATTGGATTTAGAGGCTGGACAGCTTCATGGAATGATTATAATAAGGATTGAAAGTGTCCTTAACTCAATATTGATAATGTCAAATACTCCGGAATTTGAAATATCCTAAAGCAATTATGATAGCAATTAAAATCAATTATTAATTATTTAGTGAATTAATTAATGTTTGTACAGTTAACCTCACTATTTGAGTAGTTAGTTTCAACAACAAATTACAATTATAGAACAACATTCGTCATTCTTTAAAATAAGTGATGGTCGATTAAGACACGTTTTAACTTTGTAATTGTTAGCAATGATTAACATACGCCCATGTTTGGTTGGATCATCGACAAAAATGTTTTTGGGAGAGAAAGTATGCTCAAAATAACACTAAAACTAATTAATATCCTGCTTTAATCTAAAGAAACTGTTTAGGTTGTATGAGTAGCAAATAGATGGTAATTTCTGCAAAGTGGAGAAGAAGTGTGTCATTAACGCTATCATCAAGAAAAATATTAATGAAGATATATTTGGTTTTTATTAATTAAGTGTGCTCTGAGAGCTCAATCAATCCAGCTCACTCTTGCGTTACTAATCATCTACGCTGTTCATTATTGTATAAAGCCTGATATCATTTATAACACCTTGTCGAAGAACCTTAGCAATGGAACATAACATTTTTATTATTAATATGAATTAATTGAATCTTTTACTAACACAATATTATTTGACATTATTCTCATTAATTAACCTACAACCTACAATTTAAGATATAAGTGGGGAAAATTTTTAAAAATTAGGTCTTTTAAGAAACGATTATTTCCTAATTGATACATCAAATCTGAATATATTATGTAAAATTAGCATTTGAAAGACATCAACGAGTTGGTAATGAACATGTTAATAAAGTTTATTTATTAAAGTTGAATTTTAAATACTAATTTTGAAATCTCAAACCAATCTTTAACATGTTCTTTTAAATATAATATCAGATGTACTGCCAAGGTTAAAATATTTATACAATTAACGATTTATACTTACTATTTAAAGGTTGTCCCGAACAAATTAAACGTCCATTTAATAAAATCTTCGTTATTCTCGGTGGAAATCGTCTCCAAACTGGAAATTCCACTTTGTAAAGTAATGGTCTCGAACTTAAAATATCATTTATTATTTTTTCTTTTGAATAATCCAAGATGATTTTGCCATTGTATCCCTGAACGATAACAAGAAAAAAAAGAAGATGTTAAAAGAACCTTATGTAACATTTTTTGTTCAATTTATAATTGAATTTATACGCAAAAGGATTCGTCATCGTGAAATTGAAGGTCAATGAAGCTGTTTAAAGTATCTTTATTAAAAAACCAGGTATTTTGAAAACTTACTTGAACCGAGTTTCCAACACTCAACTCGACTTTTAACGTTATTTCCGGTTCGTTAGTACTTCTAACCAAAATTTTTCCAGATAATTCACCGCGATTATCTTGGAAGTACTCGAAAATTTCCGGGCACGGACTTTCGTATAAATTTAAATGCATACTTTCTACCGAAATCACATATTTAATTAACAACAACCACAGCAATAACATTTTTAAACCACAACTATTCGGCTTGAAATACACTCAAATTTGTCTTTAAAATAATTCAAAAACTACTTAAATCATTTTCAAAATCGTCGATACATTCAAGAAGAAAGTTTAAGTATGCTTTGATTTCGTTTAAAACTCTCTCGACATTGTTAATCACGCAGAACCTCGACGAGAACTGTTTAAATATACGTCGAAACAAGTTTTATGAGTAATGAAGAAGCGTTTATAAACATAGCGTGTCCCCAGATTATTAAGTTATAAGCAACCCAAGCTACGAGAAAATTTGTTTGTGAAATGTGTTATTTAAAATAATTTTTTACAAGATTTTTTATCTACAAATTTTTATTATCACATCTTTTCTTGTATATTAAAAATTTATTTCTATTAAAGCCTTATATCCTAATTTAATTAATATTTAATTATTCTAATTATTTAAAAATTATTTAAATATCACACGAATAACCACATCCTGGTCGCTTTACAATATCCCTAAAGTCGAACAAACGTCATAATTGGAACTAAATGTTATCGTTATTACATCATTACTTTTTGTTAATTCGTCATACATTTTTTTTGATTGATTTACGATTACACAAAGCTATTTAGTAAAAGTTACCATTCATTTTATGGTTTGGAGGAAGTGAAGTCCCCGCCAAGAGATAATAGAAATCTCTTAAAATTCGTCGAGAAAGAGTCACGAACTCTTTGCTTCTTGGGTTTTCCAATGACTTAACACGCAGTTGGGTATTTTCAAGTTCTTAACGTTCTTATTTTAGGTTTCTCTTTTTTATTTTTTGTGTATTTGACCTGTTTCACTGGCAGTGAATACTTTTTAAAATCAAGGTGAAGGTTATAATACATATTATAGCTTTGCACAACTTATCATAATAAAAGACTTAGTAGGTACATAGAAGAATCTTCAATTATACAGCTTATTCAATAATTTAATTTAAATAATAAAATTAGTAACCCGGAACGATTTGATAGTTGCACAAATATGTGGAAATCTTATTCGTGTAATTATTTAAGATCCGCCGACATTCTAAAAACGCCATAAAACATCCGGAATCCTATTTCGAATAATAAATATTTCGAATCTCTTCTAGGATGTTTCCGATTAAACCCGATCTTAAGATAAACTAGTTCATCCTAATTTGATTTGGAATTCTCTAGAAAAATTCTTTGCTGTGAAATCGGGTTTATTAGGGCGTATTATTAAGCACCCGCATATCAGAAAACCCAGAACTAGAAACGATGGCATCTACCAGCACATTTCACAATGTTTTTTAGAGGTCTATTTCAGTAGCTTTTTATTTTCGCGCTATACGATGTACAAAAAGAAAATGTATTGTAATCGTGCAAAAATTTGACCTCAAATACAATTTTGTGGTGATAAAAATTGGCAACCGAAAGTGTTATTTAATGTAAACACAAATCCAAATTTTTTCATATAGACATGAACATTAATATGACCAGCAGTTTATCTTAACACATTCGCATCGGGAAACGAGAATTCTCGTTTTAAAAAAAAATGTTGTCGAGAAACGAAAATTCTCGTTTCGGGTTTTATTTCTTAACAACATGGATAAATTACATGAAATTGAAAACAAACGTGACGAAATTAGTGATCAATTATCAGATTTACCAAGTGATTGTGATGATGATAGTGATATCCTACCTACGAAAAAAAAATTGAAACCTATTTTATCTGAAACAGAAACTAATACTTCTTCTAAATCAGAGAAGGATGAAAGTATTAATAATTCTGAATCAGAAGAGGATGAGAGTAATAGTAATGGTAAATCAGAGGAGGATGAAAATACCGATAGTGAATCAGACGTTGATACTACTGATGTATGGGGTGATATTGATATACCACCACAGTTAGAATTATTTGAAGGAAATCCTGGCATAACGATTGAAGAATATCCCGAAAACATGGTTGAGCTATTTTTTAATGATGACTTCTTCTTGTACCTGTGTCATGAAACAAATAGATATCACAATGAACGAGCAACTAAGTATAAAGTTTATAAAAATGCTTTAATGTGGACTGATGTTACCACGATAGAATGAAGCGATTTCTTGGACTTATAATTTTAATGGGACAGGTAAAAAAAGTAAATTACAAGATTATTGGGCAAAAGATCCTTTGATAGAAACACCAATATTTGCAAAAATTATGACTAGCACACGATTTGAACAAATTTGGACGTTCTTGCACTTTAACGACAACACCCAAATAAAAGATGATTCACACAGATTAATAAAAATTCAGCCTATTTTGGACCACTTTATTCAACAATTTCAGGAATTTTATTCGCCAGAGCGAGAGATTTCTTTAGATGAAGGAATGATTCCTTCAGAGGAAGGTTATCGTTTAGAACGTATAATCTGGCTAAGATTATAAAATATGGGTTGCTTGTACGGGCTGTATGCGAAAGTGAGTCTGGATATCTAATAAATCCAGAAATATACTGCGCAAAAGGTAAAAAATTACAAGAGACCATGTTATCGGTTTTGCATCCAGTATTGGAAAAGTGGCATTACTTATATGAAGACAATTATTATAATAATGTCCAAAATGCAGAATTATTATTACAACATAAAACTAGAGTTTGCGGTACGATCAGGGAAAATAAAGAATTACTAATAAGTTTAAAAAATGACATAAAAAGATTGAAAAAACTGTTGATATTTAAGAATAAAAGGTAAATAAAAATGATAAGTATAATTCATTCTGCTGAAATAGTACAAACCGGAAAACAGAATAGAAAAACAAAAGAATATATAATGAAACCAGTATGCATTACAGAATACAACAAATACATGAAAAGTGTTGACCGTGCAGATCAATACCTTTCCTATTATTCGATTCTTCGAAAAACAACTAAGTGGACCAAGAAGGCAGCACTATACAGGGTGTTTCATGAAGTTCTCCCGGTACTAATGGAGCATGTTGATTAGGTGATTTGTAATAAAAAAGTTCATATGAACATATGTCCGATTCACTTCACTTATTGAGTTATATGAATTTGAAAATAATATTTAAAAATTATGGCGTTACGGCCCAACGTGGGACTCAAAGGGTAAGTGTGCTATGACTGCATTAGTAAAATAAAGTACTTATGTACCTTACTGTCAAATTTGACAAGCTTGCCGTTTAATCTACAATTATTTGAGTTTTATTTGCGTACAATGCCGTTTAAGTTTACGACTGTTGAGTATGCTGATATGGCTTTTGTACTGGGAAATTGTGATGGAAACGCTACTACAGCTTCAATTAAATATCGACGACGTTTTCCAAATCGGCGTGTTCCATCGCCGAAGACTTTTAGTAGTACCTGCAATGCCTGCATTAGTACGCTACTGATATCCATATCTTTAGGGATTCCCAATACCAGGGTATGGAGAACATTAAAAAGAAATCTGCTGCATCCGTATCATCTACAGCGTGTTCAACATCTGAAGCCAGAAGACTTCCCTAGGCGTTTGGCATTTTGTCAGTGGTTAATAATCGGAACTTATACTGCTACATTTTATTTACGGATGAGTCACAATTTACTCGAGATGGCATAAATAACATCCATAATTTGCATAAATGGTCGGACATTAACCCTCATGCTACCATAGAAGGTAATTTTCAAAGCAGATTTAGCATTAATCTGTGGTGCGGAATGTTGTACGATCAACTTATAGGTTTATTTTTGAAGATCGTCTTACCGGACAAAGGTACTTGCAATTTTTGGAAGAAAAACTTCCGCGTTTACTGTGGGATGTACCTCTAGCAAGACGATTAAGAATGTATTTTCAACACGACGGAGCTCCTTCTCATTTTTACCGTAGAGTCACCGATCATCTAAATGAACGTTATCCTAACCGCTGGATCGGTCGAGGTGGACCGCACGTTTAGCCAGCCAGATCTCCAGATCTCAATCCTCTGGATTATAACATGTGGGGTTGGATGAAAGATTTAGTATATCAAGAAAAAGTAGACACACGTGAGGCTTTAATCCAAAGAATTTTTGACGCTGCAACGCAAATAAAGGCGCACCGTGCAAAGATAAAAAATGCAACGAGAGCATTTAGGAGGTGGAATTTTCGAAAATGTTTAAAATTAATAAATTATTTTTTCAAATTATAATAAAAAGTAACATTATCGAAATTACTTTATTTTTAAATGCATAAGTGTAGCTCAATAAATAAAGTGAATTGTCTTGCTCAATGCTCTTTTTTTTTGGTCAAACATGACGGTAACCTAAATAAGTACTTTATTTTACTAATGCAGTCATAGCACACTTACCCTTTGAGCCCCGCGCTGGGCCGTAACGCCATAATTTTTAAATATTATTTTCAAATTCATATAACTCAATAAGTGAAGTGAATCGGACATATGTTCATATGAACTTTTTTATTACAAATCACCTAAACAACATGCTCCATTAGTGCCGGGAGAACTTCATGAAACACTCTGTATATAATGAATATTGCACTATTTATCCAAGAACACTTGTATACACCAATTTGTCTCCACATGAAAAAATGCGCTATAAAAATATTTGTTATCATATTTGTTATTATATTTGTTATAGTTGCGAGGGGATGGTTAACAGCAGAAGTAGATGAAATGCAGCCCTCCACATCATGAGGCACTGGTCCAACTTCAACACCACTTGGTAGATTGTCTGGTGATATGAAGAAACAAATCCTGGAGGTACTACAAAAATATGCATGGTGTGTAAGGTACATCGGAAAAGAAGCGAAACACGATACATATGCAAATTTTGTGAAGTACCGTTACACAAAAGAAGCTGTTTCACCGACTATCACACTAAAAAAAATTCTAATAGTTTTGTACAAATTTTGATAATTTCAATAAAATATACAGGGTGTATCTGAATGACTGCAATAAACTTCAAGGGGTGATTCTTTAGTGAATTTTAAGGGTACTTTCATATATGAACCATGGGCGACTTCGGCCCCCCTGAGGAGCTACGCCCCTCCAAAAATGGCGGAAAATTTTGGTTTAATTTTTTTTCTCAAAAACCATAAACGCTAGGAAAATGAAATTTGGGGAATATGTTTAACTCGTAATAGGGCACGTTTTGACCCTATTTGTACTTTCATCCTACCCTTCTAAACTACTAAACGTAACCACCACCTTTACATTTTTGGTAAAATTTTTTGTATGCAGATG